CATCTGGTGAAAATTTCATGTCATTAGCACCTCTAGTAATATATTTACTGAGAAAAATGGTGACGTGTTCAATACTTATTTTACCCGCTATATGTCAGTAAATTCTGACAGATTTTTTTCTGTATTACCACAATAAATTTCAATATTTTGTTGTATATAACTGAAATATTGTGTTGTTGGGGATAAATCATCTTATTTCACCTGCTGTACTGTGGCAGATCTAGGATGTCTCAAAATAAAGGGCCACAATATTCATAAAGGGGCAAGTATTTGTTTAACATCCTTGCACACAAATCCCCAGTTTTAGCCAGTTACACATGTTCAGCCATGTGTAATGTAATAAAAAAGCTTCCACAGTAAATTATCCTTTCCAATTTTTCATACTATTTTATTGTTTATAGACAAAATACTCTCAAACACATGTGAGAAAATCCAGTCATCATCAGTTGAAAGACCTTTTCTGCAGAAGAAGACTCCTGAAATCTTGATTCATGCTGGACTTTACTATTTGGCTCATTATCGCCTCTAGTGTTTGGACATGAAACTGCATCAACCGTCATCATTGCAAAATACATTTACCTAAATCTGTGATAATCTGTCAAGTTACAAATGTACAAGGAAGTTTTTTTTGGCTAGCATTACATGTACTGACTAACCTGGCAGGATATTATTTAACAGTGTGTAAATTGTGTGATTAAAAACGCTTACTGTGAGTTTGTCAAATAAAAAGAAAAGCAGCAACAAATTAAAAGCATGAGCTGAAACACATTTATTTCATGCTTTTCTTCTATCTTGACATAAACGAGATACTTGGAGCAAATATTTCAAGTTAAAAAGTATAGTATTTAGTAGGATTTTTTTCTTGGGATGGTGTTTATGTGAGACTTTAAGTGTATAGCTCCACATTGTGGAATCTGTTGTGTTTTTTGTACACTTGAGGTTAGATCTGAATCATTTTAGGACCTGGTTAAAAACAGATAGTCTCTATCAAGTCTTGTTACATAAACCCCTCACAGTAAAACAGGGACGGGCTTTCGATTTTCCCCTGACTATAGCTTGCTCAACACTGTTCGATTCTGTCAACAAACTTCCATTTTACCAATTATTAAGTTATTTTTTCTTTCCTCTTACTTCACTGAGCTCATAAATACTCTCCTGGGGCCTCATGTATAAACATTGCGTACGCATAAAAAA